CTTTCTAATTTCATTCCCCACATGTTCACCATAGATGGAAAACCCATCTCTGCGAGTACTAGCCTTTAAAATTTCATAGGCTTCATCAGCACGCCTTTTACCTTCGTCAGTTGATCTACTACATATGTTTTTTTTTAAAAACCTTCTGTCGTGGAGTTGATGATAAGTCTTGCGAAACTGGAGTGTTCTGACTTTCCGTAGCTTCATCACCACGATATTCAACCACCGAATTTTGTTCGTCGGAACTATTTTCTGCACTCTGAAAGAAAGAAATTTTGAAGCATAAATTATTCAATATCTCATCCACTTTTTACAGTAAATTGTAATAAAAAAAGTTAAAGTGCACCATATCCGCATATTTGAAGTGAAAATTCTCACTCCTAAACAGCTATTAAATGCGGGCCTGTACCAACTCAAAAACTCAATAATTTTGTATTGTCATCCATGCAAAATTTTAGCCCAATCGGTTAGAAATAATATGTTAAAATTCATCCTTACAACTTTTCGTTACGTTCTTGGTTACGTTACACTTTTCGAGTCGCTAGGCCACGACCTTGAATTTTTACTCGCAACGCGTGTAAAATAGTTTCACTTCAAAAACTGATATGTAATTTTAAAAATTGCAGTATTCAATTATTATAATGTAAAACATTATTATTTATATTTGCAAGTGTACGTGATCGATTTGGATTCTTTGTAACTCTCTTGCTTCTCTCTTGTAGCCCCTGTCACGCGTTTTGGCCTTAGCTCGGCTCTTTTAAATTTAAAAAAAAATAGAAAAAAAATTAGAAAAAAAAAGTAAAAAAAATACGAAGAAAAAAAATATTAAGTTAGCGATTAAAAAAAAATAAATATTTATGGAATTTGCAGGGGTCTAGTCGCGAACAAATTTATGCCCTAGCTCTGAAAATTCGGAGAGTAGGGGCGGGTTAAGAGCGCCACTGACTTTCTTACCGGATCGATAACGATATTTTAAAGACAATTATGCTTAGAAAATTTTACTTAAAAATTAAAATAGAGCAACATAAATTTAATGAGTGACAATAGGCTCAATAATTACTGTTGGTTAAATAAAATACAAAAATATATATAATTAATTTATTAAAGTAAATTTTGGGTTGTCTATAGTTAATGCTAATAAAAATCTAAATAAATATTTGACGGTCCAGTTCAAAAATTTCTAACCTACGTATTTAGTAAATAAACAGAATTAACGGCGGAAAGAATTATTTTATCTATTTCGGCTAAAATAAATATTAAATTGTATTAAATTGAACTAGTATTTTGCTGCAAAAAAAGTGTTATTAAATGTGAAATATGTTTAGTTAAAAATAAGGATGGAATAATTACTTTTGTTGACATGTAAGTACGATTTATTTATTCTTAGTTTACTGACTGAACTGATCGATATTTCAGGCTAATAATAATATCAACTAGCGTTAAAAAATTGAGAAAAATAAATAAAATAGTCTAGTGAAATTTTGGCACGTTACACCCCTGCGGCACTTTTGATTTTCTCCTTATTGACATATCCTTTCTTTTCTTCCTTCTTAGCGGAATATTCTCGTGGATTGTTCATTTAAGTCACAGATAGAAAAGGTAAAAATAAAAAGCAGCTCATCAGCTGAAAGTCTGAATGAATATAATTCAATTGTTCGTATACATTTTTCAGATGCCGACAACCGCACAAGAATAGAAAAAAATTGCTAAGGATTTTGAAGTGACCTGGAATTTTCCACATTGTCTGGGAGCTTTAGATGGCAAACATGTTTTGCGCCATTGGCTGTAGCTTTCTAATTTCATTCCCCACATGTTCACCATAGATGGAAAACCCATCTCTAGTACTACTAACCTTTAAAATTTTATAGGCTTCATCAGCACGCCTTTTACCTTCGTCAGTTTATCTACTACATATGGTTTTTTTTTAAAACCTTCTGTCGTGGAGTTGATGATAAGTCTTGCGAAACTGGAGTGTTCTGACTTTTCGTAGCTTCATCACCACGATATTCAACCACCGAATTTTGTTCGTCTGAACTATTTTCTGCACTCTGAAAGAAAGAAATTTTGAAGCATAAATTATTCAATATCTCATCCACTTTTACAGTAAATTGTAAAAAAAAGTTAAAGTGCACCATATCCGCATATTTGAAGTGAAAATTCTCACTCCTAGACAGCTATTAAATGCGGGCCTGTACCAACTCAAAAACTCAATAATTTTGTATTGTCATCCATGCAAAATTTTAGCCCAATCGGTTAGAGATAATATGTTAAAATTCATCCTTACAACTTTTCGTTACATTCTTGGTTACGTTACACTTTTCGAGTCGCTAGGCCACGACCTTGAATTTTTACTCGCAACGCGTGTAAAATAGTTTCACTTCAAAAACTGATATGTAATTTTAAAAATTGCAGTATTCAATTATTATAATGTAAAACATTATTATTTATATTTGCAAGTGTACGTGATCGATTTGGATGCTTTGTAACTCTCTTGCTTCTCTCTTGTAGCCCCTGCGGCACTTTTGGTTTTCTCCTTATTGACATATCCTTTTTTTTCTTCCTTCTTAGCGGAATATTCTCGTGGATTGTTCATTTAAGTCACAGATAGAAAAGGTAAAAATAAAAAGCAGCTCATCAGCTGAAAGTCTGAATGAATATAATTCAATTGTTCGTATACATTTTTCAGATGCCGACAACCGCACAAGAATAGAAAAAAATTGCTAAGGATTTTGAAGTGACTTGGAATTTTCCACATTGTCTGGGAGCTTTAGATGGCAAACATGTTTTGCGCCGCTGGCTGTAGCTTTCTAATTTCATTCCCCCATGTTCACCATAGATGGAAAACTCATCTCTGCGAGTACTAGCCTTTAAAATTTCATAGGCTTCATCAGCACGCCTTTTACCTTCGTCAGTTGATCTACTACATATGGTTTTTTTTAAAAACCTTCTGTCGTGGAGTTGATGATAAGTCTTGCGAAACTGGAGTGTTCTGACTTTTCGTAGCTTCATCACCACGATATTCAACCACCGAATTTTGTTCGTCTGAACTATTTTCTGCACTCTGAAAGAAAGAAATTTTGAAGCATAAATTATTCAATATCTCATCCACTTTTTACAGTAAATTGTAATAAAAAAAGTTAAAGTGCACCATATCCGCATATTTGAAGTGAAAATTCTCACTCCTAGACAGCTATTAAATGCGGGCCTGTACCAACTCAAAAACTCAATAATTTTGTATTGTCATCCATGCAAAATTTTAGCCCAATCGGTTAGAGATAATATTTTAAAATTCATCCTTACAACTTTTCGTTACGTTCTTGGTTACGTTACACTTTTCGAGTCGCTAGGCCACGACCTTGAATTTTTACTCGCAACGCGTGTAAAATAGTTTCACTTCAAAAACTGATATGTAATTTTAAAAATTGCAGTATTCAATTATTATAATGTAACACATTATTATTTATATTTGCAAGTGTACGTGATCGATTTGGATTCTTTGTAACTCTCTTGCTTCTCTCTTGTAGCCCCTGCGGCACTTTTGGTTTTCTCCTTATTGACATATCCTTTCTTTTCTTCCTTCTTAGCGGAATATTCTCCTGGATTGTTCATTTTTCTTAAAGTCACAGATAGAAAAGGTAAAAATAAAAAGCAGCTCATCAGCTGAAAGTCTGAATGAATATAATTCAATTGTTCGTATACATTTTTCAGATGCCAACAACCGCACAAGAATGGAAAAAAATTGCTATGGATTTTGAAGTGACTTGGAATCTTCCACATTGTCTGGGAGCTTTAGATGGCAAACATGTTTTGATACAATGCCCGGCAAATACAGGAAGTTCATTTTACAACTACAAAGGGACGTTTAGTATAGTACTAATGGCTCTAAGCAAACTATCAGTTTATATACGCGCATGTAGGATGTCAAGGTCGACGGAGGCGTTTTCAACGCGACTCCTTTTTCGTCCTTACTATACGAAGATAAACTTTCAATTCCTACTCCAGAACCACCTCCAGGAAGAGTAACTGCCACACCATATGTTATAGTAGCGGACGAAGCTTTCCCGCTGAAAGAAAATATAATGAAACCATATCCTTGTCCTTTGCAACAATCACCACAACGAATTTTTAATTACCGACTATCCCGTGCAAGAAGAGTTGTAGAAAAGACATTTGGTCTGCTATATATGCTCCGTATTTAGATTGCTATTAGAAAGCCATTATGTTTGGATGTGAAAAATGCCGAGGTTATAGTAACAGCATGCATATATATATCTACACAATTTTCTTCGAAAAAGTGACACTTCTGCGTATATACACACCTCCGGGAACTTTTGACTGCGAAACGACTGATGGGTTACATATTCCAGGATCTTGGAGAGCAGACACTACAGCTGATAAAGGACTCAGAAATTTACGTCACATTCCTCGAAGAGCAGCTACGTCAGCAATAGAAATACAGGACGAATTTAAATCTTATTTTATGACTGATGAAGGAAAAGTTCCATGGCAGGAACGATATCAATAAAATTAGGCATTTTCCTTTAAATTTTTTGTTTCGAAGAACCATTAAAATTATTAGGTATTATGCAATAAATTTAGATGTGAAAAAAATTACCTCATTTTTGTCTCTTGTGTTGATATCAGTAGATGTTCCCTCTCGTGGTAGATCAACGCCCAGCAAAAAAGATAAACAATCGTAATAACACCATTTACTCTTTTTCAAGGTCGCATGCGTCAATGGCAACAGATGACAACATGTCGTATGCGACAACGTGGCATACTACATGTTGCCAATTGTTGCCTTGGTGTAAGGCCGGCTTTAGGGATGTGCTTCCACTTCCACTTTTCAATCTATGTTGTTATAAACTAAGTTCACCTATGTAATTAGCAGCTCTTATTTGCAGTGGTGTACGAAAGATGGACATCAGTAAATTAGTGTGTCAGACAGCACTAATTTTTTAAGGGTTTTATTTTTGCTTCATTATTTTTTTATTTTATAGAAAATCCTAAATATGTACAATGCGCTGCAAGAAAAAAAACCAAGAGTGGAATTATAAATTGGCTAAGAAATAAAGTTCCGTCGACACATAAATATCAGGAACCATGCGATGATAATTCTTGTGAATATTATAAGATGAATATGAAAAGAAATAGGGGAGATGACAATAGTTTACCAAGGGTAAGATATTCTTAAACATCTCTAGAAACCACAATTAGTATTTTTTTACTGGTCTTCAGATGCTCCCTTGATGGTATTTGCAGAGTTATATTAAAATGTTTAAATTAATTATAAATTATTAATTTTTCGATAGATATTACTCTATATTAAATCTACTATATCTATTGAATACGACTTGTAAACCAATATTGCATATGTTGTAGCATTTTCATTTTCCAAATGCTACTTTGTTTTATTATAGACGGTATTTTATTATTGTATCGATATTCTTTTTACATTTCTACACTTAAATTTCGGAACGCTCTCTATCGAAAATATTGGATCGTACCCTGGTGTATCGACAAGACGGGAAACGTCAAAATCGCCACCTCGGATTTGGCCGTTACCGAGGTCACTGTGCCATTTTGAGAATTAAATTTATTTGGCTGGTACAATATGGGAAAAATATTGTGATTTTGTTGTCCCATAGATGGATGGAGATCCCATATAGCTTTCGATTATTGAGATTTTAGTGGATCTATAGTTTTGGTAAGATTTTCCTTGACATTCCATTCGGTAGAAAAAACCTTCACATGCCTTTCTTTTAGATTCCAGTTTTTTTTGATGAGAAGTATCCAGCCCTTATTTGAGAAGAAATGTTAAATAATTATTGATTGTGTGCCTTCACAATGAGGTAAATTAATACCTTCGTAAATTTTTCGAGTTTTTTAAAATGTAAGGTTAACTAATACCGTGCATTTATTTTTAGGTTTTTCTACAGATTTTTCTACGTATTTTTCTCAGCATTTTTCCTCGTATTTTTCTTCAAGTATTTCTAGACATTTTTCTAGACGTTTTTTCTGCAAGTTGTTTTGCATATTTTTCTAGAAGTTTATGCCAAGTTTTTCCACAAGTTTTTCTTACTTGTTCAGTCACCGAAGTAATCAGTAGCAGCCTGTTCGGTTAAATTTCAGCCCTGCACCCCTCTGAGGAGAAGTTGGATGCTGTGATGTTTTTGTATTATTAAGAAGATCCTTTTTTAGTATAATTTGGTATACAAGGCCAGTATATTTTTTATAGTAAACTAAACTTTTATTAATTTGATTTTAAATAATCATTGGTGTGTTAAGAAATTAACTATTCTTAGCATTTTACATTTAACTGGTTAAGTACTTGCCTTCAGCATTACTTTAACCCTTAATTTATAAAATTTAACATTCTGTTAAATTTTATATATTTTTTTTAACGCTTAAGTATTTGCCTCAGCATTGCTTAAATTTCACTTGTATTTGATTATTAAAATAATCATGTTATATTAATTGATTATTCGGATTTAACATCTATTTATGTTAATCTTTTATATCATTACAATCTTTGACCTGTAAGGGCAATCTTGGATACAGCTTTTAAACTTTTTCCCTTAACTATATATAAACAAAAAGGTTCATGAATCTTCGTAATAAGTCAATTAAAATTTAGATATTTAATATTCGAATAAAACCAAGACCGTCTCTAAAAGTATTCTTTTTATATTATAATTGTTTGAATAATATTTGAAAATATATAATTTGATTTTAAACAAGTTTTAAGATAGAGTTTCTTAAACATCTTTCTTGTATATTAATGTACATAACTGCTGTGCCGAATAGGTACCGAATATTTCTAACAAGTAATAAATCTTATTTTTTTGGGTATTTGAATTGTTTCATTGGTTGATCCAGTTTCTCAAAATGTTTAATAGCTATACTAATTTTAGTTTCCATTCAATTAATACACTTGTACAAATTTTCTTATTTCAGTTTGTACTATCCTTTGTAAAGTATCAGTATCTTTTTGAAATAAGTGGCGCCCTTTGGTATGCAATGTAAGGTATAGGTGGGTATCATTTTTTTAGTCAAGTGCAGAAGCAAAAAGCTTGTTCCCACCGCCTCCGATATAAGAGTAGCCGTTCGCAATATTTTGACTTAAATTTTCAATAAAAGGAAAGTTTATGTCACAATGTAATAATGTATTTAAAGTATTAAAGACTCAAAAATTGATAGTATATTTATAATGCCAATTTTTTACATTTAAAAAGTAGTTTTTTTTGGACATGGCTAAAAATAGATATTCGTTACATCATTAATGCCTATAGATATCAACTTATTTGAAAAATATTCAAATTAAAAATGTGTGATTCCTTTCTAAATTTTCACAATTCATCAAATCATGATAGTCGCCAGGGTAAAAATAAATGATCATCTTCTGAACCTGTATTCAAAAATAATATAACGTACTCCCTTTCCAGATTTTTTTAATCATCTTTTAGCTTTTTCTATGCTTTTCTAGGTTTCATCTAAAACTACAGGCTTTGGTCTAAGGACTATTTTCCGGTAAGAATAAATTCCGCAGGGATCTATTCTTGGTCCCACATTGTGGAACATTTTGTACAATCCCCTGTTGAAGTTTGATATGCCAGAGGGTATTACTCTCACTGGCTTCGCGGATGATGTAGCCATGGTAGTGATTGCGCCACAAAAAACAGAGGCCGTAATTCTAACCACCAAACAAAAACTGGCACCACACCTGCATTATTTTTGATGTTGGGGAAACATTGATCGTGAGTCTGATTAGATAGTAAAACAACATTCTTAGAACATGTTACTCAAACAATCACTAAAGCGGAAAAAACTCTAGCAGCATTATCAAAACTAATGCCGAATATAGGGAGTCCTAGGGCATCAAAGCGTAGAATTCTTGTAAGTGTAATACATTCACAATTGTTATATGTAGCTCCGGATAGATACAGGGGAGAGCTCAAACAAATAGCCAGGAAAGTTGTAATGGAAGAGTGGCAGAATCAGTGAGATAAAGGGAAATATGGAAGATAGACCTGGTGACTTATACCCAACATTGAACAATGGATTGACAGACCATGGTGAAGTGGGATACCACCTGACACAAATGCTGTCTGGAAATGGGTGCTTCCGAAAATACATCTATGATGCGGCAGGCAAGCTCTGAGTCATGTTTATTTTGTGGTGAAATAGACGAAGTTGAGCATGTAGTCTATTGTCCCAGATGGAAGGATGAGAGAGATAATTTTAAGGACAGCGGACTGGAACGAATTTCACTGAAACGAACATGATGAGAAACCTTGAGGGAGGTGAATTATTATGGGAAACAGCAAACAGATGTATAAATAATTTACTAAGTAGAAAAGAAGAGGAACAACGCCACATGGCGTAGGCAGCCCCCAGGTCAAAGTAATGAGTTTTTCCTAGGCCGAATATTAAGCGGGTTCGAAAAACTATATAGTTTTCACAAAATTCGGTAACGTGTTCCCTATGCTTTCGGTGGTTCGGGTTCGATCTTGTTAGAAACCCTTGTTTTGGTAAAATTTTTTGCTTATCTAAAGTCTTTAAGCGCGGCATAATAGTTTTTCAAACCCGCGTCTCTTTGAATACCCTGATTAGGCCTAGGAAAAATTAGTTTATCCTAAAATCGGGGTTTCCGGTAACATACATGAATATAATAGAGTTGGGACATGCTAAAAACTTAAATTTCCATTTACAATAGGTATGGAATAAATATCACCAGAATAACCCCGAATATGGTTAATACGTTTTAAATCAGATTAGCCAAATTACATGCTTGTACCTACCAAATTATATGCTTTTCGTAATAAGAAAATACAATAAAACTGTGTAATTTCCCAATATAGGTAGACATTGACCAGCGGCATCGCTAATTAAAAACGAGAAACTATAATAAAAATTGTTAAAACATAATTGAATCATTCCATACTTAGTTTACCACCAGTCTATAAGATATAATGCATATTAAAATGGAGCCCCTTAACCTCCAACCAGTGTCCTCAAATAATGTAGGATTATTGCTAAACTTACCTTGAAATTTTGGGATCAAATCCGTCATCTCAGATGCCTGAAGAAGGTCCTCCATTTTCACATATCACAAGCACAAACGATAACAAAAAAACTTTATAAACTACCCGGCTAGTCTCTTGTCGTAGATTAAGCACCACTTCATTAGACATTACGATATACTCGAACAGAAATCACTATATACTTAAAGTAGGAGTAAAGGGATTTGAAACAATAAAAAGTAAAGTTCAATAAAGATTAAGTATACTTTTTTTTAGAAAATATGATAATTTATATTCAAAACTTTCTAGCAAACTCTTGTAACGATAGTAACAACACTTACAACTTACACTTGAATAAAGTAATTATTACATGTACACAAAGAATTTCTATACTTAATGCAATAATTTGCTAATTTACAAACAAGTATAAGTAGTTGTAGTAATCTTGTTCCGAGTACAAGATTTTATCTAGAATTGTCTTGAGTGTAGTTATAATCTTAATTTCAATACTAGGTAAATCTTAAATAAAAGATAAATTTTCTTAACTTCTAAGGATAAGGTTTTCTTGAAAAGAAGTATAACTAGATTTGCGGAATGGGGAAACTAGCATAGTTGGTTCAAGATTAATAATCTTTAAGCCAATTTAGCTTTTTTTCCGTGTGTCTAAATAATTGCTTCTTAAAGCAAAAAGTTCAAGTTCAAGATTATCCAAGAAATGTTTTATCAGAAGGAAATCTAAAAGGATTTTTAATTTGTCGAAGTGTAAGCAAACTATTAGCCGAACAGATAACTAAGAACAGATAAATTCTTTGACCTAAAATAAACACATTTATAAACTCCCATATCAACGCAACCGGAAATACTATCAGAGAATTGTGTATTGTTGTAATAATACGGGCAGTGCTTATTAAATAGATTATAATATTTCACATTTACTTTCTAATATATTATTAAATTGTAGCGCGTCATTTTTGACCTGGTCGAAGGCATCCCTCCAAAAGAAGACCCATCTCACCTTCAGAATTGTTTCGAAAATTGCAGCCCATCGAAAGAAAAGAAAAATAATGCCAACGAAAAAATTCAAGAACAAAACGATCCAGTTTATTATAATGAGTGCGGCAACGCGTGTCATGAGAATGATTTATTTTTATCTCAGACGGATTGTCCTAAAGTGAAGAAAACCTTTGAGAGAGCCACTTTCTGCGATATAGATGGCAAAACTAGGGTAGACGTATACTATTTCGATCACGGTTGTTTTTCGTATGTTTAGTATGTTATGTCTCAAGTTTAAAAATGGTTAATTTTAAATTATTTTAAGCCATTATCGAACAACTGATGCACCACCAATGATTCACAGCGAAGAGTTGGCATTTAAAACTGAAAGATACACTACGATATTTTGGGCAGAAATCTTTGGTGCAATCCATATCGGATTTTCTTTTGTCACGTCATTTTTGCTGCAATTCTTTAGGTTGGTGAATTTTTCTTTATTGTAATCGCAAAACATTTTCCGATGCACGTCATCAATCATATCGAAATTGACACTAGTCTATAAACCTGACTAAATGAAATGTTGGCAAAAATGTATAAATTTGTTGTATAATTTAAGATACCGAGCAGCTCTTCATTTTACTTTATAGAGCAAAATTGTAACAAAAATTAGTGTAAACCGAATTTTATTATTGCTATATTGATCAGATTGCGCCGTGTTCAGCAATGTTGTCCTTTATTATTTGACAATTATCCTAATGTCAGTCATTATTTTGTATAATATCGTGTTGTTGAATCTTTGTGAGTAATTCTCGTTTTTTGCCTATTTTCATAGTCTTTTTATTTTAAATTGCACTTTTAAGCACAAACAGTTCTTTAAGAACTAAATTTTTGAGTTTTTGTATTGCATTTCTTGAAATTGTGTGTTGAAAATATGCCGAAGCATTTAAACAATCGAAGCAAAGAGCTTGTAGCTTCCCTGTTTTTTTAATACCATTTTAGGCCAGTAAACGTAGCCGAGTATTATATGTAAAGGTGGAAAAATTAGTAACCAACCAATCTCAACGGGAATATGTAGATAATGATCTCCTATTTAACTCCTCAAAAGTCCCATTCGGTTCCAGTGGGGGAAGGTTGAAAAAAACCGCCGCCATCTTGGATTTTTTCGTTTTTTTCAAATATCTTCGTTTGCTTAACTTTTTTCGAAAAAACTAAAGATATGTTTTTTGTAGAGAATTAAATTTAAAATATTTTACATTCAATCATTTTTTCTCTAAAATAAATAGTAATAAAGATAAAGCAATTTTTTACTCTACGTTTTATAAATTTTCCAGTTTTTTTAAACGAATCAGCTATAATTTTTGAGTTAACAGTATAGTGTTAATATAGATAAACCAAGTATAAATTTAAACATTAAAACAATTAAAAATAACGTTTAAATATTATTTATTAAATAAAATTATTGTTAAAAAAATTATTATTAAATTAAAGTTATTAAATGAAATCTGTTGTGACGTCATCCAGAGCGTCATTTTCGTTCTCAACTAAAATAAAAGTTTGTGCAATTGATTTAGTAGCACTAACCACACTTTGAAGAACATTTAAGACCCAGTTTTCTACAAGAGCAATTTTTAGAGCACTGTCTTTGCAATTGCAAAAAAAATATTTTAGTAGGTCAGGATCTTCTGTTGATTGAATAGGTGTCAGATTGCCTTTTTGGTCTTTCTTCAATCCATATTGTAAAGGATCTAACTTGTTACCAATCCATTCTTGAATCTAAAAAATACAACTTATAACATTTCCTGTAATAGATATAGGTATCTTGACAGTTACCTGAAAGTATGTCCTGAGTAAATGGAGTTTTGCAGAATTCTCAGTTAAGGGTTTGTCTTGATGTAATCCTATTGTATAGAGTGTATCTCAACTGGTTAATATGTTTAATATAGCTTGGGCACTGATATAGCCTTAAATGATAATTTTATCCTGACTGAAACAAGTCATCTTTGTTAGCATTTTTTTCTAAAAATGCGTCGAGGTATTGACAAAGATAGTCATCTTTTTTCATTTTTGACTTGTTTCAGTCAGGATTAAATTATCTTTTAAAGCTATATTACTGTCCAAGCTATATTAAACATATTAACCATCTGAGATACACTCTATACAATATTATTACATCAAGATAAGCCTTTAAGACTACCTTCAATTTACCTAATTTGCCTCCAACTGAGAACTCTGCAAGACTCCATTTACTCAGGACATACTTTCTGGTATCTGTAAAGATATATATCTATTATAGAAAATGTTATAAGTTGTATTTTTTAGATTCAAGAATGGATTGGCAACAAGTTCGATCCTTTACAATATGGATGGAAGAAAGATCAAAAAGGCAATCTGACACCTATTTAATCAACAGAAGTTGTGGCGCCTCCTGACCTACTAAAATTATTTTTTTGCAATTGCAAAGAGAGTCAGTGCTTTAATAATTGCTCTTCTAGAAAACTGGGTCTTAAATATTCTTCAAAGTCTGGTTAGTGCTACGGAATCAGTTGCACAAACTTTTGTATTTTAGGTGAGGACGAAAATGACGCTCAGGATGACGTCATAGCAGATTTCATTTAATAACTTTAATTTAATAATAATTTTTTCAACAATAATTTTATTTAATAAATAATATTTAAACGTTATTTTTAATTGTTATAATGCTTAAATTTATACTTGTTTATCTATATTAACACTATACTGTTAACGCAAAAATTAAAGCTTATTCGTTTAAAAACACTGGAAACTTAATAAAACATTATAGTAAAAAATTGCTTTATCTCTATTACTATTTATTTTACAAATAAAACGATTGAAGTTAAAATATTCTAAATTTAATTCTCTACAAAAAATATATCTTTAGTTTTTTCGAAAAAAGTTATGCAAACGGAGATATTTGAAAAAAACGAAGAAGTCCAAGATGGCGGCGGTTTTTTTCAAACTTCCCCCACTGGGACCGAATGGGACTTTTGAGGGGTTAAATAGGAGATCATTATCTACAGATTCCCGTTGAGATCGGTTGGTTACTAATTTTTTCCACCTCAACCTCTAGATTGACTGACCTATTTTGAATGAGAACGTGACAATAAAGGTCCTTTATTACCCTTGACTGCAGTCAGAAAAGTAAGTTTGATTGATAAGCACATTACACCACTTTCAAAGTTAGTTTTTATTAAATTCTGTGATTATTAGTTTGTGCATTAATAGCACCCTCTTACTTGTTACTACCACTTATGGCGTTGTAAGATGTACATCAATAAATAAATAACCCTTAATAACGCTTATAATAATCTTCATAATGGACTAGTTTTTGCCAATATGTAATAAGTAAAATAGATCAATTAATCACTAAAATATTAGTTATTAAATTAAAAATAAAACGTAAAACTCTTTAAAAAATGATATAATAAATATGTTGTCAATTTTAAATTAAGATTCATCTCATAAATCCATCACAATCTGGCAGCGCTGTCGCCATCGCTTGTCACTCAAAGATGATCACGTGCATCGGAAATTGTTTTTCGATTACTATAATTTAATTGTACTGTTTTAAATTTGTATTTTTATTTATCCTTCTAGGTTTATACTATACAGTATATTTCGTCCTTTAACTATTGGACTGGTTCAGCTGGCTTCGGATTATTTTTTCAAACCTCTTCTTGCAACTTTATTCAACGGAATCTTTCAACCAATTTTAATATTTGTCTTTAATATTGCCGCATCTCTTCGGGATTTGTGCAGCCCAATAGCAGAAGCCGTGGGATTCTTCCTGCAGGAATGTGCGGGCGTCTTAAAAGCCATTAGGCTCGTGGAAATCAACAAAGAAAATAGTAAAGATTGCTCTGACGTTAAAAGTGACAATAAAAGACCTTGTAAGAAAAGTAAGCCTGTATGTTAAGATAAAAATCTAACTCTAATTATAAGTATATATTATATAAATATAACAATTGTATACATCAGTACAGTTTTATTTTAATGCTCTATTGAACAGGGTGGACCATTTTGGTTGTTTCTATAGGGTATCTAGGAAACCGTGAGAAATATTCAAATTTTGATACCGCAGTCTCGGGTTCTTTTTTTGAAAAAATTACAATGGCGCAAACAGATCGTCGCTACATTGATCGGTTTCGAAGCTACAGGGGGATTCTCAAATTTTGTACTTTTTGAAGATGTTCCATAGTTTGTTTATTTCAGCAACCACGGAAAAATGAATTATACATTCTAAATGCACTTTTCTGTGTAGAATGCAGTGGCGTAGTCAGACTTTTTTCGAAAAAAATATTTTTTGAGATATTAACTATACTTATGTTTTTTTTAAATAGGACCCCCTGTATATTTTTAAATTTTCTTATTCAGCTTGGCATGGGCTTCTCGAAAATATATAACACTCTATATTTATTTTCACTATTAACCTCAACATTTCAAATTTTTCTTAAAATATCCACGCCGGCGCCGCGCCGAGGAACAAAGTAAACGGTTGTCATGGTGATCGGAACATACCTTTGATGGATGCGGGACATTTCATTTCAACAGATTGCAGTGTGTGTATTTTAAATAATAAAAAATGAGTAAATTTGAAAATTTTGAGAAATATAATAATATGTTAGAATGTTATATTGAGTCTAACAAACATGTAAGTAAATGGCAGCTGATTTATATTTTGAGCGGTATCCAGAGCGCGAGCAACCAAACCCAGCCATTTTTAAAAGGTTAGAAGATAGTTTAATCAATTTTGGATCTTTTCAAAAACCGGGCCTGAAAAATTATCAGAAAGAAGATGAATAAAATCAATATATTAATGTCCTCGAAGCCGTAACACTAGATCCAACAACATCAAGTAGAGCTATTGAAATTCTGTTAGCGGCGCGCGGCGGCGTGCGGAGACGGTACCAACTGTGTCTAGATAATAATGGGCAGCAGTCTGAACATGTAATGTAGTCTTTGTGTTTTTTTCATATTAACTGAGAAGCCCGATTGAAGTAACCTCTTGAGATTATATTAAAATATGTTTTTTTGTTTCTGTCACACTTATTTTTTATTTGTTTGGTATTGTAAATTTTATTTAACTCCGAGGACAATAATATACTGATTTTCTTCATCTTCTTTCTGATAATTTTTTGGGACGCGGTTTTTGAAAAGATCCAAAATTGATTAAACTATCTTCTAACCTTTTAAAAATGGCTGGGTTTGGTTGCTCGCGCTCTAGATACCGCTCAAAATATAAATCAGCTGCCATTTGCTTATGTTTGTTAGACTCAATATAACATTCTAACATATTATATTCCTCAAAATTTTCAAATTTGCTAATTTTTTTATTATTTAAAATACACACACTTCAATCTGTTGAAATGAAATGTTTCGCATCCATCAAAGGTATGTTCGGATCACCATGACAACCGTTTACTTTGTTCCTCGGCGCGGCCTACTATCCACCAAGTGGATATTTTAAGAAAAATTTGAAATGTTGAGGTTAATAGTGAAAATAAATATAGAGAGTTATATATTTTCGGGAAGCCCATTCCAAGCTGAATAAGAAAATTTAAAAATATACAGGGGGTCCTATTTAAAAAAATATAAGTATAGTTAATATCTCAAAAAATATTTTTTTCGAAAAAAGTCTGACTACGCCACTGCATTCTACACAGAAAAGTGCCTTTAGAATGTATAATTCATTTTTCCTTGGTTGCTGAAATAAACAAACTATCGAACATCTTCAAAAAGTACAACATTTGAGAATCCCCCTGTAGCTTCGAAACCGATCAAGATAGCCACGATCCGTTTGCGCCATTGTAATTTTTTCAAAAAAAGAACCCGAGACTGCAGTATCAAAATTTGAATATTTCTCACGGTTTCCTATGAACTGAATTGAGTCTCTGGTTTCTTGTGCACTTTGTTTTATTGTAGCCAACAACCTCTTCTGAAGTTCAACATTCGAGATGTGAAGCATTGGTGCAGATGGTATATTTTAATGCAGAATGCTAAAATGTTTGAACAATGATGACGTATACATCTGGTTTAACTCTTAAGCATTCGCGTATGTTTTACAGACGTAACAACTCGCGTGGCGCCTGGGAGGCGCCAGGGTAAATAATTAGTAAAATTTATTTAAATTGTGCATTTTTATATACTGAACTAAATTAAATAGAAATATTTAGGCATTGAATGAATATGTAATACGTATATCTCAAAAAAAGTTGCTTACATAAATGGTTTATATGAAGTTTTACTTCTAAATGCCTAATCGCAAAATTTAAACCTAGTGCCCCTAGAATGAAATTAATCATTTTGAAAACGTTCATTATACACATTTTTGGAATGGTCTGAACATATAGTCTGAGCAGTTAAAATATATTTGTTTTTAGTGTCTATTCTTTGATCCAGGGCATTATAGCTCTAGCCGTAGAGGCACCAGAGGATGCATTGTTTATAATATACCTGAAACCAATTAATACTATATTGAATTATCAAGTCTATTGTATTTTAGAATATTGCCTCCAGGAATACACAAAAGCCCATTGGAGTAGGCATAAAGCAATAAAATATATTGAAGTTTAAAATTTTCTTAGCGCCTGTCAGGTGCCCACGCGAGTACTTAAGGGTTAAACATATAGAACAAAAAAGTACCTATTTTCTCTTTAATCTGCCTACTTATGCAACAACAATTGCAGTATTTTATCGAGCCTCAAATTCTATATTAAATTCTGGTGCCTCGTGTTCCTCAGAAACCTCTTCTTGAACATGTATGAAATTTAATAAAAAATTTATAAAACTTAAAACTGTTTTATCGTCCTCTTCACAGTTTGAGTGTTGCATGTGGGGAGGTAAAATTGTTTATTATTAACGTTTTGTACGACGAGATAAAGAAATAGCATGTAGGATTCACATTCCGGAAGCCATGACTCCTTATACACCCTAAAAACTTGTCTTGGTTAACCCTTCTGAGAGAAAAATATTTAAAGCCAAGTTTGTGTAACTTTTTGAACAGGAATATGAATCTCTTTAAAGTTTTTATCCAATTCTGGATTGACGGTGGAATCTTCTCACCTTTTGATGTTATAAACCTAACAGATTTAAATGTATATACACTCTGGCGGAACAAGTCTTGGCTGGCTTATAACAAAATATTTCTTTTTATTATCTAATTTAAGCAATAAACAAGTGAAATACAGTACAAGATTAAAGTCTAAAATATTTAATTTAAAATGAAGCTTACCCTATTTAACTGTCCATTTCAATGTTGAGGAAGCTGTGAGAAAAAACTTGGGCTGGATTTTTGACTTTCATTTTTAACAATTTATCTTTGTAGCAAGGAGCATCAGTCAATTTGTTGCCCATTCTTGTATTAACATCACCTCCATCCATTTCATATAGGTGTACAATATCCTAATTAGCCTCTTTATCGACATTGTTGTCCATAAATATTAATTACTTTGCTGTTAAATTTTTTCTCATCCTATTTAACAAATATGGTGGATAGTAAATGGCAACAATTTCATGTTGCGCTGTTTCAAATATATCTGCATATCCACTTTTTCTTGCCGATCCCATTATTATTTTTTTATTGCAGCATATTGATAACAAACTGTGCAGATTACATTTAGCCTTATTTGCTGAAGTGCGATAATTGTATCTCTATTAACACTTTCAGCTGATCAGAATTTATTCACCCTTGAATAAAATGGATGGAGGTAGGTATTTCCTTCCTTAATCCTTGTACCGTAAACACCAAGGCATTGTCTGCAAATCTCAAACTTCTTTTTTGCTCTAAAATGAGCAAATCCTATAATTTAATCCCATTTCTCGTCATAGGTTAATGCTGGCTCTACGGAAATTTTAACAAACATAAGTACACAAGTTTTATCTAAAAATTATAATTCTTGTATTGAAAGCAGTGAAGTATCCAAAACTTTTCGTACTATACCAGTAGTAAAATGAATTTTACTCAGTTAATGACTTAATAATTTGTAAGAATTTGGGCTTTGCTTGAGAAGAGGGAGCAAAAAGTTTGTCGTCAAATGTAAAGCGCCGTTTTCTAGAATTTCTATGTAACATCCTAATTTGTCAATTAATTAAATTCAAACATCGATCGCTCTGTTATCTTGTTCCTTAAAATTTTTCTGAAATGTATAAGTGCATAACCTAGCACAAAATTGTATGCAAATCGAGCGCTGTTGACGATGTTTTGAAACTATATATAATACATAATATGAATTTTTCTAGTTTGGGAAAAACAGCAGAAATGTTGGAATTGTCATAGCCCCTTTCGTCGAACGCTTTTTGAAAATCTTCACTCTTTCGAAGAATTTGTAAAGGCTATGTCTTTCTTTTTCGAAATAATGCTAGATTAGAGTCACATCCGGTTATTGCGTGAAATTCTGCTAACTATTTACAAAATAAGTCTCCAAGCTCTGCATACAACGCCGATACATTTATTGTTCTTTTTTTATTCCAAACCCCCGTCTATATCCAAATCTTATTATCTTAATTGCATAAAACATCTAACGAGGCATAGGGGAGTTGTCGAAAGAAGAGAGAGAGCAAAAACTCTTTCGTTAAATGTAAAGCGCCCCCTTCTAGCATTTTTATGCAACATCCTAATTTGTCAATTAATGAAATTCAAACATCGGTCTGCTATCTTGTTCCTTAAAATTTGTTCTGAAATGTATAAAGTGTATAACCTAGCACAAAACGGTATGCAAATCGAGCTCTATTGACGATGTTTTGAAACTATATAAAAATACATATGAATTTTTCTTTCGAAGAATTTGTAAAGGCCATTTGCGAAATAATGCCAGATTAGAATCACATCTGGTTGTTGCGTGAAATTCTGCTAAAGGTTTACAAAATAAGTCCCCAAACTTTGCATACAACGCCGATACATCTATTATTCTTTGTTTATTCAAAACCCCCATCCGAATCCAAATCTTACTATCTTCTTGAACATTACA